GGCCGTGGACTACGTCACCTCTCAGGAAACCCTCATCCCATATCAGAGTGCCTGGTTCGAGTCCCAGCTTCCAGCTAATGGATCTGGGAGGCAGCAGAGGATGGCCCAAGTACTTGGGCTCCTGCCACCCACATGGGAGACTCTGATGGAGCTCCTGGCTCCTGGCTTCAGCCTGGCCCAGCCTTGGCTGTTGTGGCCATTTGGGGAGTGGATCAGCATGAGGGAGATCTCTCTGTCTCTCCTGTCACTTTGCCTTTCAAAAAATAACTTAAAAAAAAAAGCATTTATTTTTCTCCAAAATCCTAATTTTCCTTTTTCCCTCTGTTCTATTAAAATTCTGTAACAGAAGTCTGAGCACATTAACTCGCAAAGCAAATGCAAACGGCCCGAGAGTGTGGCACGCAGCTGTCTTAAGTGCTGGTTATATCCATGCCTAGAGCCCCAGCCATGGACGGCTAGGAGGGCTGAGTCAGACTTTACCCTGTCTCCTCCCCGCCTCCCTCACTGGCCAAGGCACCAGAAGGAATGGCAAAAGCCTCAAGGCACAAGCCCAGAGTCCCCAGCCCCAGTCACCCTGGCACAAAGAGGGGCTCTGTGTGGCAGGGCTGTGTGCGAGCCTCAGAGGCTGCTCGCTCCGGAAGGCCCAGGCCCCTCTGTAGGGCCTCTGACCCCTGGCCACCTGTCTTTAACAATAAAACTCACATGACTGTGCGTTGTTTACGCTAGGTGGCCTGGGGGAGAGGCAGCCAGAGGAGGGAGCAGAGCAGTGGTCTAGCCTTGTCAAGGAGGACAATGACATCTAACCGTCACCCAGCACACCCCAGAGAAGACGCTCAGCACACAAACTCCGTTCTCACTGTGAACAGGAGAAACAGGGATTTGAATCCAGGCCTGAAGCAACCCATTTCATTCCTAGTAATACACACTTTACTATCATTATGTTTCCAGCTGAGAGTCCGAGAGATCACCCACCTGCCGGTTCACTCCCCAGCTGTCCCCAAGCTCATACTGGGACAGGCTCAGGCCAGGAAGTCAGGTTTCCCATGTTTGTGGCAGGGACTCAACTACTTGAGCCACCACCTGCCGCCCTCTGGGCTGTACAATAGCAGGAAGCTGAAACTGGAAACAGAGGTGGGACTCGAACCCAGGCACTCCAATATGGCATGGGGGAGTCTTCACTGGTGTCTTAACACCTGCTCCATAACACTACGCACTTTGACTATTCCCTCTCCCCTCTCTACCCAATTCAAGAACCAAACTTGCCAAGATGGGAATAAAAGACAATACTCCAAATCACCCAAAGCCAGCAGAGGCAAAGCAGAGAAAGCGGTAGGGAAGAGAGCCTGTGTGTGTGTGTGTGTGTGTGTGTGTACACGCATATACATTTACTATTGCCTTTCTTCCCCATACTTAGTAATGAATACTTCTACTACTAACGTCTACTAACTCTCCACAGAAAGGCAGGCGCATCGATTCATTTTGGCTTGAAACCTAACAGCTATGGTATCTATCACTTTAACAACAAGCACGGTAAAGGGTGCAGAGAGGCCTCAGAAAGGATGAGCCCCACCTCCTGGCCACCAGAGACGACTGATGTTGCCTCTGCAGTGCTGAGGGGCCTTCCACAGCGTCCGCGAATCCACTGGGCTCCCTGTCCTGGATGCGGGGCACTTAGAAGCTTCGTGCAGAACTCCCGAGGGTGCATGGGGGTGACAGCCCACACAAACTGAGGTCAACCCACGGGCTCCACCCCCATCTCATGAAGGGAGAGAACGCCATAGGAGGCCACAGTGAAGCAGGAACGCGAGAGGCAAAGGGGCCAGCTCTGAGCACGCAGCTGGGGGACAGTGAGGAGCACCCCCACCAGCTCCCCGTCGCCACAGCAGCAAGCTGAGGACGAAGCCCCAGTGAGACTCATTCCTAAGCTCTTCCAGGTAAAGGCTTAGCTACAGCTGCAGAAAGGTATTGAAACTAAGATTTTCAAAATTTTAACTTTCACTTAGTTTTTAACAGATTCAATGTGCTTTGCAGACACAGTTCTAAGAGCACAGTGATACTCCCACCCTCCCTCCCACCTTCCTTAGGCGTTGAAACTTCTCAGAGTACAAGGCAGAGTTTCTCCCTAGGTGGGGAAAGCAAGAGCTAGAAACAGCGCGGCGTCAGGCTCGTCTCTCAGGAGAACCCCTCCCATGAGCTCTCAGAACCTGTCCGGCTGCCTGCGATGGAGCTTGACCGCGAGGCACCGCCATCTGCTCCCGGAGCAAAGGGGGCCTCCGACTCTGCGGGCTCGCTGAGAGCTCTCCCAAGAGGCTGCCTCTGCCCTTCCACTGCACGCGGGGAGGCTCCAGGGTGGGCCCCGCTTTTCCCCAAGGCACAACCCCCCAGCACTGGCAGGCAGGGTCCTGGCCACAATGACCACTTGCTTCTTTTTGATGACAGACACAGCCCTGTCCTTACTGTCCCAGGAAGCCACTGCACCCATCTGTCTGGGAAGATGATCCAATTTGGGTGCTTTTATCATCTATGCGTTCAGCAACTTTGTTCTACTTCCCCTACTGTAATTACTTTTGAATCATCAACACACCCAGACAGGCGTAAAGCTCACAGAACAGAATGCTAAAAAAGAGAAAAAAAAAAAAAAAAACCAACCCTGCAGCAGCAAACAACTTCACTGAAAATCCACCCAAGCCAGGAGCAATTTGCTTCTTTCCAGAAATATACTCTTTAATAAACTGTCTCCCTCTGCTTCCTCCTCTTTTTCAGAGGTAGGCAGGACATGGAGATGGCCCGCTGGGGGCGGGGAGGGGGCAGGAACCAATAAGGCGTCATTAAAACCTCTGCCCCTTACTCCTGGGTTTGGGTTTGTTTGCGGGTGCAGGTTTTGTCAGTAAATGCTATGGGGGTGGGAGGGCCAGCATGGCGGCCGCTGGATACCCCAACCTCACTCACAGAAAGAAAGTATGCCTTCTCTGGTATGCAGTCAAATGACACGGGGAGCCTGGGAACTCGGATTCCTCCAGGGATAAGTGAAGGGTAAACCACAAACACAAAAGGAAAACTAAGTCCCAGCTCCCCCAAACCCACCCAGCAACTTGGCGCCGGAGGAAGCCACCTGCTCCACTTTCTGCTCCTGGCTTATTCTGCTGCCTGAGCCAGCCCTGGAGGATGAAACTTCCAGCCTGGATTGAACACGCCGCTTGCCTTCACTCCTTTCCTGCGTGGCCTCCCCTGCCCAGCGCAGCCTCAAGAGAGCAGCAGGGGGGAAGCACTGTTAGCCAGATTTCTCCACCCCTGCCCATCTCTCGGGGTCCCTTCCCCGGAAAGGCCCTGACAACCGACACAGGAGGCCCCCTCCCTCTCCCAGCGCTCAGCACAGCTGAGCAGCCAGCAGCAGAGGCCATGAAGTTGCCGTCCAGGTCCCACTGCCTGGCTGCTGAAGCGGTCAGCACCCAGGGCAGGGAGCAGGGGTTTCTGGGGGTTGAGGGGTCCGAGAAAATAAGGCTGCAAGGCTCCACCCCCCCTGGGGGCAGGCTTATTCAGAGAGGACCAGTGATGCAAGCAGCAGCCAACACCGCCCCCCCCCCCCCCCCCCCCCCCGCGCCACCAGTGCACTAAGGGAATCCAGGAGGGGCTGGCACCCCTAGGCCAGCGCTGGAGCCCCTAGGCAAGTTGGAGGGTCTTTAGGAAAGCAAACCTCCGGAACGAGTGACATGCTGAGTAATGTTGCCCAACGGGGCGACGCGGGCTGCGCCAGGGCCGTGCAGCTGGCCGCCCACCAGCTTCCAGGCCTCGGTATAGGCACTGGCAGCACCGCCCTGCAGGCCCGGCTACCAGGGCGAAAGGCGAGGGCGGGAAGGCTCCGGATTTGGTCCCAAGAGTGTGCTCGCTTCCCAGCCTCCGGGCCAGGTGGCCCCGGTCCGAGGAGTTTTCCAGAAAAAAAAAAAAAAAAAAAAACGACGCTAGTCCTACTCGCCGCGATCCCAGACACATTCCTAAGGCCAGAAGAAGAGCGTGGGGGAGGGGGAAAGTTTCAAGCCTCCCCCCCCCCCCCCCCCCCCCCGCGCTGCGACCAAACTAAGCCACTGCCACCCTGGGGAGCCAAGCGTTCCCCGCCACAGGCCGCGGCCTTACCCCGCGTCGCGTCCCCAAGCCCACCCCAGACAGGGCCTGCGACCCTCCCCCACGCGCCTCCACCTGGCCCTCGGGCAGGCGGGGGCCGCGAGCCGCTGCCCACAGAGAACTCGCACTTTTTCGCTGCGCGATTCAGAAACACGCCGACGAATTATGTAACCAGGGACACCGCTCCCGGGCTAAACAAACGCCGCTCTGTGTGCGCGGCCGCGGCCCCGGGGGAGCGCACCGGGGCAGGGAGGGGCGCCGGCCGGGCCTGGGGCCGGGCTTGTTTGCTCAGCGCGGCCGGAGCCCGCGCCGCACGGGCCCCGGGCCCCGCGCCGCGCCCCTCCCCCACGCGGCCGCCCCCGCCTCCGGGCGGCGAACTTGGTCTCAAGTCCCACCGGACGCTGTCCCCGCCCGCGGCCGGAACGACCTCTGGGCTCGGCGGCCTGGGGAAGAAGCGCTCCACTCCAGGCCCAGCCGCGTCCCGCCTCGGGACCCCCTCCCCGAGGTCTGGGGAAAGCCGCGCTTTTCTTGCAGCGCTGCAAGAAAAGTGACGACCCCACCCCCAACTCCGGAGGGAGGCGGACGCGCTCCCAGCGCGCGACCCCACCAGTTCTCGGCCCCGGGGGGAGGGGTCGCGGAGCCCGGGTGACAGCTGCGCCGAAGACGTCCCTCCCCCGGGCCCGCGCACCCCGCGCCAGGGGTCCGAGTGCCCACCCGGGACGCGGGGGCGGACGGACCAGGGGGGCTCTAGTCACAATCGCCTGCCCTGAGCCCCAGCAGGTCAGGGCCGAGAGACGCAGGACCCGGGCGAGGGGATGCCCGAGCCCCCTCCCCTCCTGGTGGGGGGGCGACGCAAAGTTTTGGGAAGTTGCTGCCCCTACCTTGCTTGGTGAGCACCAGGGCGTCTTCCCTCCGCGCCTGGGTGATGATGGAGCCGTGTTCCATCTAACAATCCCGCGGGCCCGGGCTGGCTGGGCGGGAGGGCCGGCGGGCGCGCAGGCTGCGCTGGGCTGGGCTGGGGGGCCTGGGCGGGGGCCCGCTCCGGCTCCCGCTCCCGCGACTCCGGCTCCCACAGCTGCTCACATCCCCCCTCCGTGTCCTCCCCGGGCCGGGAAGGGAGGCGGCCTGTGCGGAGGGCGGGCGGCCCGGGCCACAGCTCCCCCGGGTGCCCTCGGCCCCCGATCCCCCGGTGGCAGCTCCGGGCTCCTCAGTTTGGGTCCAACATGGAGAATCCGGAGCGAAAACAAGAGGAGGAAATGGGACACGGGGCGGTTTCCAGGCTCCCCCCTCCCCTCCGTACTCCAGATAAACAACCCGCGGCTGCAGCGCCCACCCCCGCGCACCTCCGGGCCCTAGACCCGGCTTCTCCACAGCCTGCTGGCGCTTCCCGCTCCGGGCCAGCGTCCGAGGCCCCGGGACCCTCCACCTGTGAACGGCCGGGGCTGCTGACCGTCCGGAGCTTTCCTATTTTGTTACGGAAAAAGCGAATACCCGAGGGGGGTGGGGTGGCGGGCGGGCAAGCTGGCGGGGGAGACTTGAAACCGCTCCGGCACTCCGATTGGCCCTGTCGGAGAAAAGGGGCGTGGCCCCTCCTTACTATGCGGTGCGAGGACCCAACAACATTCCAGTCGGCACGGCCACGCCCCCGGGCCACTCCCCCTCGCCCGGCTGCGGCCTCCCAGCCTCCTCGGCCACACCCCCTTCCCAACTACTTAAAAGGCCACTGCGAGGTTCACGTTATCAAGCTCTGTGCTGGGGCATCACCGCTGCGGAAGACAGGCCGATTCTGCCCTGCGGGTAACCAGGGCTAGCCTAGAAGCTTAACTGGGGTCGGGCCGGGGAGCTTTGAGGCTCGGGGCAGTTAGCTTGCTTCCTGCTCAGCCTCCGGAGAGTCAGAGCTGGCACTGACCCGGAACTGTGTGACCTCCACACTTCAAAGGAGACCTGAACAGCAGGACTTTCCTCAAAGGCAGTCATTTCCACCCAGATCTCGTCCTCCCAACCTCGCCCTGCCGCCACTTTCCCATAGTCCCAGCCTCAGTGTATATATATGCATATATATAATATTATATATAAATATATTAAATATGTTCCCATCCACATATAAAATATGTATATTAAAGATATGGGTGGGAATGGGGAACGAGAGAGAGAGATCCCTCACCTGCTGGTTCACTCCCCAAACGCCCCAGACACCGGGTGCTGGGCTCTGGGCCAGGCAGAAGCCAGGAGCCTGCTACTCTGAGTGCCCCACCTGGGTGGCAGGGACCCAAGTACTTGGGCAACCACTTGCTGCCTCCCAAGTTGCCCATTAGCAGGAAGCTAGAACCAGGGGTAGAACTGGAACCTCTGACAGACCGCGGGCATCCCAGCCCTGTGGTTTAACTGCTACAGCAAAAGCCCGCCTCTCAGCTCAGGGTGAGTGAACGGGGCCCCTAAGGGAGGCGCTTCAACTCTGAGGACGGTCAGGCTGCCCTCCCTCCCTGGGCAGTCTCCCAGCACACCCTCCTGGACCCCAGACTCCCACTGACAGGACTGCCCTGCTCACGGCTGCAGGTGAGGGCTTCGTGTTCGTTACTGGAGGGGATAGCCCCACAAAGGCAAGCTTCGCGTCCGCATCGGGTCTGTTTCTTTTCTTTTCTTTCTTTCTTTCTTTTCTTTTTTTAAGATTTATTTATTTGAAAGAGTTACAGAGAGAGGTAGATCCAGAGAGAGAGAGAGAGGAGGGAGGTCAAAAAAAAAAAAAAAAAAAAAGGAGAGGAGGGAGATCTTCCATTCAGTGGTTCATTCCCCAGTTGGCCGCAACGGCTGGAGCTGTACTGATCCAAAGCCAGGACCCAGGAACTTCTTCTGGGTCTCCCACGCGGGTGCAGGGGCCCAAGGTCTTGGGCCATCTTCTACTGCTTTCCCAGGCCATAGCAGAGAGCTGGATCAGAAGAGGAGCAGTTGGGACTTGAACTGGCACCCCTATGGGATACTGGTGCTGCAGGCTGGGGCTTTAACCCGCTGTGCCACAGCGCCAGCTGGGTCTGTTTCAATCAGCTGGTTATTGTCCACAGGTGACATGTGCTGTCTTGCAACCAAGGAGGCTGTCCAGGTGTCGGCTGGCAAGAGCGACAGGGAGTGACATTGTACCGGGTGACTTCTGAGCCACCTCCAGACCCAGGAACCCAGTCTGCCAAGGAAGGGGCTTTCAGCAAGGTAGGGGGCCCAGGGGGCAGGGGTGTAGAGGCTGCTGGTGGCCTTCCTGCTGCGGTTCCCATGGCCCGGCGTGCATCGGGTCTTCCCAGTGGTCACAGGACACGCAGGTCACAGCTTAGCTCACCGCGTACGACCAAAGCCGTCCTCCAGTGGATACTCCCTCCCGAGGACAGGTGAGGTCAGGGAACACACGTGCCTCTGTGCCTCAAAGTGCCACGTCTGCCTATCCCTGCTCTTCCTGCATCCATCCACAAAGCCTTTTTATATAACACCATTTTAATGGAAATGTGTTTTCCAAAATGAAAGTGGCTGTTACAGAAGATCTGAATGAGGCTTACATAACTCTAAACACTGAGTTTGCGTAGATCCTAACTCATTAACAGAAGGGCGGATGGAGGAGTTCTGACATATTTACCTCCCATTATTACAACAATAGGATCGGCCTGTGCCGCAGCTCACTAGGCTAATCCTCCGCCTGTGGCGCCAGCACCCCGGGTTCTAGTCCCAGTTGGGGCACTGGATTCTGTCCCAGTTGCTCCTCTTCCAGGCCAGCTCTCTGCTGTGGCCTGGGAGGGCAGTGGAGGATGGCCCAAGTCCTTGGGCCCTGCACCCGCATGGGAGACCAGGAGGAAGCACCTGGCTCCTGGCTTCGGATCGGTGCAGTGCGCCGGCCATAGCAGCCATTTGGGGAGTGAACCAACGGAAAAGGAAGACCTTTCTGTCTCTCTCTATCATTGTCTAACTCTGCCTGTCAAAAAACAAAACAAAACCACAATAGGATCCTTCAGCTAAATAGTTAATAGTCGGTTCGCTTCGGGGGTCTTTCTGGACCCTGCCCCTGCCTTCTTGAGTTGCAGCAGGAGGAGCGTGGACAGGGACAAAGGGCTGCAGACTGAGATGGACATGCTGCCCAGTGCACCCCATCCAGGGACACCCCTGCCCTTTTCTAGTTTACAACATACTTTCAGTCTCATGTGATCTCTCACTTCTGTGAGGTTAACCAGGTAGATATTATGTCCATTTTGTAGATGAGTAAAGAGAGTCTGGAACGATTAACTGTGGTGCAGCAGGGTAAGCCACTGCCTGTGATGCCAGCATCCCATATGAGCAACGATTTGAGTCATGGCTGCTCCACTTCCAATCTAGCTCCCTGCTAATGCGCTTGGGGAAGCAGTGGAAGATGGCCAAGTGCTTGGGCCCCTGCCACCCATAGGTCCTTATAAGAGGAGGAGGCAGGGCCAGATCTCATTTTTAGACTCTGGACTAGGGCTCTTGACACCTTAGCATATTTCCCTTGCTGTCTATAGGATGGAGGAGATGCTACAACCTACTCAGTGTCTTTTCTTGCTAAAAACAAACAAACATGAAAAACTATGACTGCATCACCTCCTCTGGGGAGTCCTCCCGGGTACCCACTCTCACATCAGATTTTTAGCACCTCCCACATATTCTCTCCAAGTGGTTGGCACCTTGTCTTGGAACTGTTTGCTTACTGGCTTGCCAACCAGAAGATAGATGGTAACTAGGGCTGTCTTAGTTATCATTGGGTCTCTTGAACCTAACGTGTGCCTGACTTGGAAGAGGTGGCCTTTATATGTTTGCTGCATGCATCTGGATTTTATGTCTTAGCCACTGTTCTTTCTATCCCCATAGCAAGAAACATTATATTGTAAGATAACTGAAACAAAAGGTTCATGGGGATTGTCCTTGCTATGTGTATGCACTCTAATGGTTTCTTTCTTTCTTTTTTAAAAGATCTATTTATTTAAAAGCCATAGTGATAGAGACAGAGATACCGAGAAACAGACACACACACACCCACGCACACACACACACATGCATGTACATGTACACATCTTCCATCCTCTGGTTTACTCCCCCAGATGCTTCCAACAGCCAGGGCTGGGCCAAGCCAAAGCCAGGAGGCCAGAACTCCATTCGTGTATCTTACTCAGGTGGCCCAAGTCCTTGGACTATCCTCTGCTGCCTTCCCAGGCACATTAGCAGGAAGCTGGATCAGAAGCAGAGTAGGAGCCGGCGCCGTGGTGTAGTGGGTAAAGCCACCTCCTCCTGCAGTGCTGGCATCCCATATGGGCACCAGTCTGAGTCCTGTATTTCCAATCCAGCTCCCTGCTAATGTGACTGGGAGAGCAGTAGAAGGTGGACAACCTTGAGCCCCTGCAGCCATGTGGGAGACCTGGAAGAAGCTCCTGGCTCCTGACTTTGGATCGGCTCAACTCTCGACAGTGCAGCCATTTGGGGAATGAACCAGTGGATGGAAGACCTCTCTTTCTCTCTCTGCCTTTCTGTAGCACTGCCTTTCAAATAAAAAACAATTTTAAAAATTAAAAAAAGAGGCAGAATAGCCAAAACTAGGGGATTTGGGAACTGGAGACAGGTCCTGAACTCAGGTGCTGCAATCAGAAATGGAGCATCTTGACTGCTACTCGAAATATTCACCCCTCTATGGACTTTTTGAAGACCCTTTGTATGTATGGATTTAATTTTTTCCTTTTGCACCAAAATAAACTTACCTTTAGTTCTATTTTCCAGAAACTTCTTGAAGTGCCCTCATATTCCAGTTCATTTTTTTTAAGGTGCTGACCATGACACGCTAAGTTGATTTTGTGACCACCACTGGGCTGGGATCTCCTGTGTGCTGTGGGTGGCATCTGTGTATAGAATTCTGGTTCATCCTTGGAAGACGCAGAGAATTGACCCTCTTGTTCTGAGGTCAGAGAAAGATTTGTGTGTCCCAGCAGAACCCTTCCAAAGCCAGACGCACAGGGCGTGAAGAGTATCAGCAACAGTGTGTGAAAGAGGGAGGTGGAGGTGCGGATGAGGGATGGTCCCCAAGAGGGCAGGGAAGGACCCGTGGGTCTGTAAACACAAAGGCAGTGGTGGCTTTATTGGAACCTGGAACCCCCAAAACACAGGCAGGCAGCTTGATGCCATGGGCTTCTCACTGCCTGGCTCCCAGATCACTGGTGGGAGCAGATCTTCATTACGGAAGGCTCTCTGGGATCCTACTGGGCCTCTTTACAACACTTAAGGTGTCCAGGGAGGTGGGAGGCAAATGGATATTCTTTTTTTTTTTTTTTTTTTTTTGAAAGACAGAGTTACAGAGAGAAAGGTCTTCCATCTACTGGTTCACTCCCCAGGTAGCTGCAATGGCCAGAGCTGTGCTGATCCGGAGCCAGGAGCCAGGAGCCAGGAGCCAGGAGATTCCTCCAGGTCTCCCACGCAGGTGCAGGGGCCCAAGGAGTTGAGCCATTTTCTACTGCTTTCCCAGGCCATAACAGAGAGCTGGATTGGAAGAGGAGCAGCCGGGACTAGAACCTGCACCCATATGGGATGCCAACGCCTCAGGCCAGGACTTTAACCCACTGCACCACAGCTCCTGCAACGACAAATGGATATTCTAACTTCTGCCTGCAACAGCTCCCTAGTTAACTTCCAGTCTGCAGACCCATTTTATTCACTTCAGGGGTGATGGTTGAAGGCAGGTTTCTCTAGGCCCAAACTCTCAAGAGAAAGCCCCCTGACTCTCTCCTGGTCACTCATCTGCCCCCCCCCCCCCCCCCCCCCCCCGCCTATGTGTCTCCAGGGCTGGTGGGAGGCCTTTTGAAAACAGCAGCACTGCCCATAGCCCCAGGTGCTGGACAGGGGGCTGGTGGAGACAGGGTCGCCCGGAGTGGCTGTGCCTTCCTGTCTGCAGGGCCACCTGATGCAAGGCTGGGCAAAGTGCAACAGAGCTGGAGGGATTGACTCCAGGAGAGACGTGTGCCTGCTCCAAGACCCTGCCCCATAGGGCCTGCCCTTCCCCCTAGACCTTTCCGGACCTTCTCTGATGTCACTGAAGTGTTAGATTGCAGGGGGTTAACCAAATTCTAAGTGGGACACACCTACTTTCTTGGTTTATCTGATTGTCCCAGTAGCCTCAGTTCCCCTTTGTACTGTCACAGAGAAGGTGGGGTCTCATTGCCAGGGTTCCGGAGCCCTGTACCCTCTTGTCACAGTGAACTCCTGTCCTGGCTTCCCAGGGCAAGGTCCTGGACAGAGGTGGGCTGGGCTGAGGGCTGGGGAGGGGGAGGGGCTTCTCTGTAGAGGGTCCTGGGAAACCTCAGCCAAGCTTCAGAGCGTGTGTTCACCATCCCAACGGTACGCTTTTAGGCACATGACCTCTCCACTCTGCTTCCGTGTTAAAGTGCAGGTAACAACAGTATCTATGGAGCAGGTTACTTACTGCGAGGACTCAGTGAGGTATTGCGCAGTGTTCGGTGCCTGAAACAAGGGGAGCACCCAGTAAATTTCACTCTGACCGTCATCAACCTGTCCTCCAAACCTGTGCATCCGTCAGCCTCTGCAACCCCAGCTGGAAACCTGGGGTCCCCACACCTCTTCCTCCCCATCGTGGGCCCCTCCCTCCATCCTGAGGGCCCATGGCTCCGCCCCTCCCAAGTATTTGTTAGCCTTTTTTTTTCCTCTCTCTCTATTCCTGCTGCTGTCTCTGGGCAAGCTGGGGACTGGCTCCTCTCAGCCTCTCTCACTGTATAGCCCCCCAATCCACACCACACCCAGCTCCCCTAGAAAACGCGGATTTGATTCTGTCTCATCCCTATCCTGTCTCCAAGGAATGATTCATTCAGGGGTTTCCCCCGACCCCTGCCTGCCTGCCCGTCCTAGCTGGGCACACACAGGACTTGAGACCGGCTCCTGTCGGTCCTCTACGCTCTCCACTCTCACCAGCGCTGCTGCCAGGAGGCACCGAGTGCCTGGGAGCCGGCCCGTGCCTTTGCAGTCTTTGCACGAGCAGTGCCCGCAGGCTGGCCTGGCTTGGCAGGGCACCTCCTGGGCCCCCCAGACACAGCTCAAGCACTGCTCCTCCTCTGAGCCTCCCAGGCCCCGTTCGGGTGTAGCTGCTTCTCCGGCTGTTCCCCGTTGCAGTGTAAGCCCCTCCAGGGCAGGCGCCGTCTTGTTTTCTGTGCACCCCCGATGCCACTCACAGAGCCTGGCACACAGCCTGCCCACAGGAGCCAGGCCCTGCGCATGCCTGCCCTGGGCAATTTCTCTACCACCCAGGGTGCCGGCATTCCAGACCTGGAGTGGGGCCTGCTCTGTGCCCTGCCTGCCACCCCCCAAGAGTCAGATCTACAAGAAAACAGGACGGAAGCCAACCAAGGCTTGGTAAAACACATCTCGCCCAGGGAATCCTGCGGTAGCCCACCAAGCCGGCAAGGGCTGCTGGGCGGGGGAACCCACGCCTTCCCACCCCGACAGTGAAGGCAGGGGAGTGGGCCAGGATGCCCACGCATCTCCCCCAAGGTCCTGGGTGGCCACGTGACCCGCGTCTCCCGGGGGCCACCTAGCCCAGGCACCAGCCCTTCTCCTAAATAGGGAAGCGACAGGGACAGATCGGGTTTCGCCGTCGATATTTACAGGTTCCCTGGCCGAAGCCAAACCTCTCTCCTCCTCCCTCGCTCCTCCCTGTCTCCGGGCCCCAGGAAAGGAAAGAAGGGGCCCCTTCTGCGCCCTATTCCCAGTTCTCCGGACGCTGGCTGCAGCCCCTCCCACCGCCGCCACCGCCCCTCTGGGGCGCTCGGAGGTCACAGCATTCCGAAGCCCAGGAGGCCCTCGGAGATCTGGGGCCGCTGTCGGGGCGGGGAGGCAAGGCACCCCTGACTCGGGGCTGGAGACCTTGAGGCCTTGCAGCCATGAAAACTCTGGTTCCTCCCGGGACCTGCCGGGGTCCGGCTTCGTTTTGGCCTTGCTAACTCTGGAGGGAGGCCCTGCAGTGCCTACTGCGTGTAGGGGCCGGCCCTGGGGCTGGGTGCCCAGGCTCCTTGTCCCCAGTCCTCCCTGCCCCTCGGGCCCAGGCCACATCCCTTTGCCGCTGGAAGTCGCTGGCTGGGAGTCAGCAGGGCATGCCGGCCTGAAGGGCTTGGACTCCCAGCTCTTGGCCTGTGAAATGAGCAGGGCAGTGAGAAGACTGGGCAGGGCAATCCAGGGCCAAGTCCACAGCTAAGGGAGTCCCCTCTGAAGCCTGGATCCCTGACCTCTGAAAGCTGTGCTTTGGCTGGGCCCCAGGACAGGGAACCTGATGGAGGGGACTGGTCTCCTTCCAGGCTGGGCAGACAGACACTCCCCAAGCAGCTCATTCCGGTCCAGTGCAAACTCAGTTAGAAAGCCCTGTCTGGACGGGAGCTGGCCCTGGTCAGCGGAAGGAGCCCTGGCTCCTTTCTGGGGTTCAGGCAGGAGTGAAAGGGTTGGAAACTGAGCCACAGCTGGCTTGCCTTGTGAGGAACAAGGGTGCGTAGACAGCAGAATGGAGAAACCAGAGGTTGGCCAAGACTTGTAATATTTAGGATGGAGGGGTGTCTGCATGTTTTGTGGAATGCGATTCACTCATTTGCGTATTTATTGAGCTCATCCTAAGGAAATACACGCACCATTTGCATCAGACCCTGTCCTGAGACTCCAGTGGATAAGAGGGTCCTAGCCCTCATGGAGGCGACCGTCCAGTGGCTGAGCCCAAGTGCGGGACAGTGACAATGCAGTGCGTGCACTAAAGGCTACAGTGGGGGGAATTAAGAGGCACACCCAGATTAGGTGGGGAGGAAGTGTTACCTAACCCGAGTTCATCAGCTGTGGGGAGAGTGGAGAAGGGGAAGGCAGCTTTCCAGGGAGACCGTAGGTTCTGGAAATGTACAGTTCAGCACGTCCACCTGCATGATGGCTGCTGCAGGAACAGGAGATGGAGAAACTGCACTGGAGGGAGAAAGCGGGGTGAGCTGAGAAATACTGCCCATCCCGGGGGGCTGGGGCTGGGGCGTCCCCTGCTCCTTTGAGCCCACACAGTAGACCCTGCAGGCACGCTGTAGCGGAGGATGTGGCTCCCGAGTCAGAGCTGCCATACAGAATCAATATTTACTTTATCCAGATCATGTGTACACATAGCTGAAAAATCAAATGGTGCTAAAAGGCTTGTAACAAAAACAGAAGTCCCTGGGCCTTTCTCCCAACCCTTATCCAAGTCCCCCGGGGCAACTGCTTTCAACTCTGAGCTGTTTCTTCTGGCATTTCCTTCCTGATTTCTAAATAATACATGCACTCCCATTCTGGACTCATCTATCTAGTGTGTTGACTTCTAGTTTGGGTCCTGGAGGATTCTAATTCTCGGCTCACCTCTTCCCCTCCTCCAGCCCGTCATCGTTAAGTCCATGTCCAGCGATTTCACCATCGCATTTGTAAATACTGTTTGTTCTGGGGGCAAGTGCTGTGGTTACATTTTTTTTCCTAATACGATTTTTCTCTTGTATATTCTGTTTACATTTCCTTTATTGAACAACTTCAAAAAAATTTTTTTCCTGGAGTAATCGCCTCGCTTTTGTATATGCTTGGTTTCCTTTGCATCTCTGGATTCCTCTTCCCACACCCTTCCAAGGTTCTGTAAAAGGCCTTTAAGTGCGATTTTGCATATGGCCAAACCTGTCATAAAATCTTTTTTTTTTTTTTGGACAGGCAGAGTTAGACAGTGAGAGAGAGATAGGTAGAGAAAGGTCTTCCTTCCATTGGTTCACCCCCCAAATGGCTGCTATGGCCGGCACACTGCGTTGATCCGAAGCCAGGGTACTTATCCTGGTCTCCCATGCAGGTGCAGGGCCCAAGGACTTGGGCCATCCTCCACTGCCTTCCTGGGCCACAGCAGAGAGCTGGACTGGAAGAGGAGCAACTGGGACAGAATCCGGCACCCTGACTGGGACTAGAACCCAGTGTGCCTGCGCCGCAAGGCGGAGAATTAGCCAAGTGAGCCTCAGTGCCGGCCTGAAATAAAATCTTATGAGTTCCTTTTTTTCTTTTTTCTTTTTTTGCCTCGGAGGCATGTGTCCTGGGCTGCTCCATCCTGGCACTGTACCCTGGATACACTGCACACTGTGCACCTGTCATTGAGGGCTTCTCATTCTCAATAGTCAACATTTCCCTTTGCCTTTTTCCTGTCTCCTTGAGCCAGTGTTTTCTTCTTTCTTGGTTTACTCCCTTGTTTTGCTGAAGTGCATTTGCCAGTAGCTCCCTGCGCAAGAATGTTAGCAGAGAATGTTCTAGAAGCATCTGTGGGCTTACAGTGGCTTTATTCCACCCTCACATTTGATTGATAGTGTTGGCTGGGTATGGAATTTTTACTTGAAATTGCGTCCCTTCAGACTTTTGAAGACTTTGCTCCTTTGTTGGCTGGCTTTTAATTTTGCCTTTGAGAAGAGTGTGTTCTTCCCATTTTGGTTCTGAATTCATCTCCATGCCCACTTTCAGGCGTGTTTTCTTTTGTCCCTGATAAATTGAAATGTCACAGTGTATTGGCATGGGTCATTTCTTTATTCCTTTTTCTGGGCACTTGATAGGTCCTTTGTAATTTTTTAAAAAGATTTATTTATTTATTTGAAAGTCAGAGTTACACAGAAAGGGAGGAGGAGAGGCAGAGAAAGAGAGAGAGAGAGAGATCTTCCTTCTGCTGGTTCACTCCCCAACGGCTGGAGCTGTGCTTATCTGAAGCCAGGAGCCTCCTCCAGGTCTCCCAAGCAGGTGCAGGGGCCCAAGGACTTGGGTCATCTTCTGCTGCTATCCCAGGCCATAGCAGAGAGCTGGATCAGAAATGGAGCAGCCAGGACTCAAACCAGCACCCATATGGGATGCTAGCACTGAAGAAGGCGCTTTACCTGCTACCTCACCACGCCAGCCCAGTCCTTTGTAATTTTTTTTTTTTTGACAGGTAGAGTGGACAGTGAGAGAGAGACAGAGAGAAAGGTCTTCCTTTGCTGTTGGTTCACCCTCTAATGGCTGCCGCGGCTGGTGCACTGTGGCCGGCGCACCGCGCTGATCCAATGGCAGGAGCCAGGAGCCAGGTGCTTTTCCTGGTCTCCCATGGGGTGCAGGGCCCAAGCACTTGGGCCATCCTCCACTGCACTCCCTGGCCACAGCAGAGAGCTGGCCTGGAAGAGAGGCAACCGGGACAGAATCCGGTGCCCCGACCGGGACTAGAACCTGGTATGCTGGCGCCGCAAGGCGGAGGATTAGCCTAGTGAGCCGCGGCGCCGGCTCCTTTGTAATTTAAGATAGTGGTTCTCAAGTGTGGGCCCCAGACCAGTGGCATTGGTATCACCTGTGGGCACATTTTGGGGATGCAGATTCGGAGGGTGGGCATTTGCACTTGAGGCACCTGAACCCCAAATGGCAGAGCCACAGCATCTGAGTCCCAGCCCTGCTCCGCACTCCGGCCACCTGCTGACGAACACCTGGGAGGCAGCAGGGGATGACGGCTCTAGGAGCTGGGGTCCTCACATCCATGTGGGAGACCTGGATTGAGTTTTGGGCTACTGGCTTCAGCCTGGTCCAGCCCTGGCTGTTGTGGGCATTTGAGGGGTGAGTCAGCAGATGGGAAATATCTTCCTGTGGACCTTTTTTAAAAAAAAATTCATTAAAATTTACAATCTTTAAAAAATGCAAATTCTGGGGTCCCACTTGATACTTACTCTGGTGCTAAGTCCCAGCAATCTGCACTTAAACAAGCCCTCCGTGCAGTTGAGACATCCACGCCTGGGCTTGTGTCCTGGGTCTGCCTCCACTTCTGCTTCTAGCTTCCTGCTAGTGTGCACCAGGAGGGCGATAGGGATGGCTCAAGTACCTGAGTCCCCGCCACCCATGTGGGAGATTCAGGTTAGCTTCTGGGCTCTTGACTTTGGCTTGTGCCAGCTCCGGATGTTGCAGGCATTTGAAGAATTAAATAGTTGATTGAATATCTCTGCCTGTCAGTCTTTCTTGGTCTCTCTGCAAATAAAATAAAACTAAAAAACAAAACAAAAAACCCCACAGCCTCCAGGCCTTCTGACGTGTGCCATAGCTTCAGCACCTGTGTCCTAGCAATGTATGACCCTTAGTCTGGGAATTTCTTTGCGATTTCTCCCCAGCCATTTTCTCTGTTCATTCTTTCTGCAGCTCCTATTGTTTGGATACTGGGCTCCTTACACTGATCTTCTAAAAATTTTTTTAATCATTTCTCTTTTATTAATCATTTCTTTGTTCCATTTTCTGGGAAATATCTTCTATGTTGTATCCTAATAACAGAACCATTTTCTTTCTTTGATTTCTAAAATTTTCAAGGTTGCTTTTTATAGTCTCGGTTTTTCCTTGTTTTTAACAATTTTTACATATTTTTGTATATTTGAGGGGTAGAGAGAGAGAGGGAGGGACAGACAGAAAGAAAGAAAGCTCTCATTTGCTGATTCAGCCCCCCAAATGCCTGCAACTGAGCATCTGTGGGACTTAGCTGGGCTGACCCCAGGAGCTGGGAACTCAGTCCAAGTCTCCCAGGTGGGTGGTAGAAACCCGATGACCTGAGCCACCACTGCTGCCTCCCAGGGTCTGCACTGGCAGGAAGCTGGAGACAGGAGTCGGAGCTGGAAGCCAAATGCAGGCACTCTGAGATGGGACACAGGTGTCTTACTTTAACTAGGTGAAGTGCTCACGCCTCCTTTCTTTTTAAAAGTGGTTTCGTAGTCTCTGGATGCAGGCCGTGTCTTGCCTCTCTGAGGCTATTAATCAGAAAGTTCCCTCTCCCTGCATTGTCTCTGTTTCTTCTGGTCTCGTGTCTTCTGCACTCGTCAGCTGTCTGGTGATCTGTGGCTGTGCCCCATACTTGAGAGGGAGGCACTTGAGAGCCAGTTGGAAGCTCCCAGTGCAGGCTCATGGTAGGTAGGGCGTTTGGTGGACTGGACTCTTCACTGAGACACCAATGATCAGGGTCAATAGGCCTTTTGCTCTTGCAATGTTAGATTTTTCCAGAATAAGACCCTCTATCACACCCCCTCGGAAGTCCAGAATCTGTGTCGTATCCCAGACCCATCTTCCTGTCTTCTGCACGAGCAGGGACGAAGCACAGTACAGCTCCCAGCTGTGCTGGGTCTGGCGGGCCCTGATGGCGTAATTGCTCTTTAAACAGATCTCCCAGCCATTTCCCAGGCCTGAGCCCCCGCCTCTGACTTAATTGCTACTTCCAGTTGCTGAGCTTTTCTGGGCTGTGGGAGAAGAATCAGCTCACTCCTGTAGGAATGTGCCCTGGGGTGCTTCTGTCTCCCCTTTCCAGGTCGCGGGTCATGTTCCACCACTGACCCCGGTGAGAGGGGTCAGGATTCTTTTTTTTTTTTTTAATATTAATTTTACTTAATTGAAAGACAGAGTTATAGACAGAGAGGGGGAGAGAGAGAGAGAGAGAGAGAGAGAGAGAGAGAGAGAGAGAGGTCCTGCATCTGCTGGTTCAATCCCCAAATGGCTGCCATGGCCAGAGCTGAGCCAATCCAAAGCCAGCAGCCAGGAGCTTCTTCCAGGTCTCCCAGCTGGGCGCAGGGGCCCAAGACTCAGGCCACCTTCTACTGCTTTCCCAGGCCATAGTAACAAGCTGGATCGGAAAAGAAGCAGCCAGGACTCGAACCAGTGCCCATATGGGATGCTGGCGCTGCAGGCCAGGGCTTTAACCCACCGTGCCACAGCGCCGGCCCCAGGGGTCAGGATTCTAGATGGACCCCGAGTGTAGGTAAAGATGGAATTTGGGTTTGGTTTCTTATTTTCCTTGTTGTTTGGAGGATGCTTTTTGAGAAAGAAGTGTGGGGGATTTATGCCACCATCTTGTGACCCCAAGTCAGAGCTGCGTCTGGGAGGTAGAAATACTGATGCCTCTGTCAGACTCCCTTGCTCCTGCTGTTAGGAGGAAGGGGGAGGGAGCAGAACTTCTGGAGCTTAGAGAAGCCACTGCGGGGGGCTGGCATTTGGTTGAGCTGTCAAGCCCTCCACCCAGACACCTGCATCCCACATCAGAGAACTAGTCTGGTCCCCGGCTCTGACTCCTGGGACTGCATCTTCCTGCCAGTGCAGAACCTGGGAGGCAGCAGTGAGAGCGCAAGTCATCGGGCTCACGCCAACTACGTGGGAGACCTGGACCGAGTTCATGGCTCCCCTGTGGGCATCTGGGGAGTGAACCAGCAGATGGGTGTGCTCATTCGCGGGATCTCTCCCCCCGCACCCCATCTCTAAACTAAATGCATAAATTTGGAGGTCCCCCAAAGAAGGAAAGGATAACTGGGCCTGAGAGACGCCTGTGAGGGGAGACAGTGAGATACAGTGGTGCCAGCGGCAGCAGGGAGAGTGGGAGGGAATGGGATGTTTCGGAGGCAGAGGGAGGGGCAGTGAAGTATCGGGCTTTGGAGCAGGCCTTTCACCTTGAGGCAGAAGATGATCAGACAGTAAGGTTGCTGATCAGATGTGCCTTCCGTGCAGGCACTGCAGGCTTGGGCGTGTGGGGAGCTAGGAGAAAGAAGGAAAGGCCTGCTGGTCAGAGACAGGAGGCCTTGAGCCATCACTCAGTACCTCCTAGGGTGCATGTTAACCAGAAGCTGCAGTCAGAAGTGGAGCCAGGACCTGAACTCAGCACTTCCACATTCCAAACTGCTTCTTAACCAATGCCCAAACCAGAGCCGGTCATCTAGGTGAGCAGCTGTTTTGGCACCAAGCAAAGGTAAAATTTTAACAAGGGAAGGGGGGGGGGTGCTGGTGGCACAGAAAGTTAAACCGCTACAGGCGACACTGGCCCTAGCAGCCGCTGTGGCCATCTGCAAAGTGAACCAGTCATGGAATCTCTCTCTGTCTCTCCTCTCTCTTTCACTCTGCCTTTCAAGTAAATAAATAAATCTTTAAAGCAAATAAATAAATAAAAAGGGAGGATGGTTCCTTTAGCCCAGGTCAATATTTCCTGAACCGACCTCCAGATTATACAGAATCACTGTTCAGTCACCTGGAATATGAAATGCACAGTTTGGCGCCCAATAACCCAGCTCTCAAAACCTCACCTGCTGTCCCCGAGGTCCGTGGGCTGTTTCACGTCTGCCTCTGTATGGCTATTTTACTGTGGGATGTGTGCTGTCGTGCCCTGCTCTGGCCGTGCACGACAGGAGTGGCTGCCGCAGAGTGTGTGTGGATCAGCCAGGGGTCCGTGGTTATAGGCCACAGAAACCACCTCTGGCTACCTAAGCACAGAGGCAATTTATTGGAACGTTATTGGGCCACTCACGGATTCAATGGCTGCTTTCTACAATTTTCCATGCTGGTAAAGCCTTGGTTTCATTCTGGAATTTACCCACCCTGTACTTCAGGAAGCAGACCCTCTCCTCAGCCAGGGGGCCCCGTGGTGCTGCGTCTCAGCCTGCCAGGGTGCTTCTTGGCTCCTTGCCAGTGACTGGTTAGGTATAGGCGTGTGACGCACCCTGGAAGAAGCCTGCCCAGGCCAGGGAATCTGGACTCACAGGGGAGCTGATTTGGAGCTCTGATTTTGGCATATATGCTGCCAAAGCCAGCACAGCTCTGATTTTACTGAAGGCAGAGTTAAGCCCCTCTGCCTCTGAAAAGTGATAGACTCGCTTATTGTTTAAACTGCTTTGCCAAGAACTGGCGTTGTGCTGTAGCATATGGGTGCTGGTTCATGTCCCGGCTGCTCCACTTCGAATCCAGCTCCCTGCTAATGGCCTGGGAAAAGTAGCAGAAGGTGGCCCAAGTACTTGGGTCCCTGTACCCATGTGGGAGACCCGGATGAAACTCCTGGCTCCTGGCCTCGGCTTAGTTCAGCCCTGGCTGTTGTGGCCATCTGGGGAGTGAACCAGATGAAAGATCTCTCTTTCTGTTTCTCCCTCTCTCTTCATAACACTTTCAAATGAACAAATAAATCTTGAAAAACAACAAAAACCATTTTGCCTTGATCTTCCGTGCTCTCAATGGAAAAGTTCTAACTGCCACATCAAAGATATCTGTGGCTGGCGCCGTGGCTCAATAGGCTAATCCTCCGCCTTGCGGCGCCGGCACACCGGGTTCTAGTCCCGGTCAGGGCGCCAGATTCTGTCCTGGTTACCCCCCTTCCAGGCCAGCTCTCTGCTATGGCCCGGGAGTGCAGTGGAGGATGGCCCAAGTGCTTGGGCCCTGCACCCCATGGGAGACCAGGAGAAGCACCTGGCTCCTGCCTTTGGATCAGCGCGGTGCGCCGGCCATGGCGGCCATTAGAGGGTGAACCAACGGCAAAAGGAAGACCTTTCTCTCTGTCTCTCTCTCTCTCACTGTCCACTCTGCCTATCAAAAAAAAAAAAAAAAAAAAAAGCTATCTGTGTCCTGGGTAGTTGGGGGTTGGGTGGGGGAAGCACAAGAAAATAAGCTGATGGCTAAAGGATGGAACCAATGAAAGAATTTACAAAATAAAGGAGGCTGATGCACTTTTTATTTTTAGAGACAAAGAATTGATCGGAAGTGCTAGTGGGATGGGAACTAACTCAGGGAGAAGGCAGCCACTGCTCATTAAGCAGACGCCTACTATATACCAGGCACCATGGAAGTGGCTGGGGAACAGCGATGGACAGCGATGGGTGGGTGCCTGTCCTTCGATCTGCATGAGGTGGGACGACACAGAGCACACAAGCAAAACAGGAACTGGGTAGGCTCCTGCAAGGTGATCGGAGGGGGCGGTTACCTCTGATGGAGGGAGGTGAAGAAAGCGTCCCTGAAGAGGAGACCCAAAGGGTGGGACGGGAGCAGCCACATGGACAGCCCCATGAAGATTCCAGATGTCTCAGCCGCGGTTGGCTCTGTCACGTCTACAGCAGTGGAAGTCCAGTGTCCCTTCAGGGAAGGGACAGAGATGGCAGCGGAGTTGGCCTTGCTGGCCCCTGCAGGCCAGGAGAGACAGAGCAGAGCCGTATGTATTTCCCAAGCCTGGCATGGAATTCACCTCCCCTGTGGCAGGACAGACGGGAACACAAGGGTCACCTTGTTTCTGCAGGCTCAGAAAGTCTGCATGGAGTGTGTGGAGGGACAGACTGTGGGTGGGAGGGAAGATACTTGGGGCCAGCAAATGAGCCACAACCCTGGTCTCCGAGTCCCCAGCTGGCCCTGGCTGCCCTGACCCATCCAGGCTGGAGCTCCAACCTGCTTCCCTGTTTCCCAGCTCACGCAGTGAACAGACGCTGTGGAAGTTCACGACTTTGTGACGGCTACTGCCATGCCTTTGTGTGGGATGCAAAGGCGAGACTGGCTTTGAGGAGCTTGCTGGTCCAGGATTCACAAACACTGCTTCCGAAACAATCAGGAAACACCTTCGCAGTAGAAAGTCAAGGACACCCAACAGAGCTCTGTAGCTCGGGCAGTCACGTGCGGTCAGGAGCCCGCCATGGGCACAGTGCATTGGTTAATGTGCAGTCCGCTGCGTTGCTCACAACTCCCCACCTGCTACCAGCGTCCTTGCGTTCTTTCCTCACTCACTACTCCCGCCTTTCCCCCAGATCCCTTTGGGGGTGATTCATCAAACTGGAGGCTGACGCCTGATTTCCACTTGTCCTGTGGGGATGGGAAGCGGGGGAGGGGTCAGCCAGCTGGACTGAGATTCCTCTGCCCAAGGATGACGGCGCCACAGTGGAGTTTTTCCCAGGAAGCCTGAGGTCCTGGCTTTGGGGGTCTTGCACTTGAACAAATGAGAAAATACCCTGTGCCCGGGTGTGCTGGAGACCCAGCCCGCTCCTCATTCACTCCACACGGGGGATTTTAATGATCCATTTTATGATTTCTGGAAAGGAGGCTCAAAGAGGCAACGTCATTGCTTGTCCTCATCAAAGTAACAGCTACAGGGGGTGGAGCCAAGCGACCGACTACAGCACCCCTTGGGTGCCCTGCAGTGCCCAGTGCCAACTTGGCTGTCCAGCCCTTTTCCTTCTCCCTGCCACAGCACATTAAGAACTGAGCTACAGGCCATTTTGAGCAAGGACCAACCTCCCATCCCCACCCTCCTCCATGGAGAAGGTTTCCAGGAGAGTCGCTGCCACTTGGGCGACTTTTCCTCAATGTTCCCCAGGCGCAGAGCACAGCTTTTAGATGTGCCAGGTGTCTCTCTGTTCCTCTAATTAACACCAGAGTCAGCTTTTAGCCAGAGCCCTGCCTATGGCTGGAGTCCCCAAGCCTGTGGCTCCCAGGCCGGAGGACAAAGCCAGGGCTGCGCGGGGTGGGGTTTCCTGTGACGCGGGCCCTCTGCCTCCACCCGGATCCACCCGGTTCACGGTGGAGGCCAGGGTGGCAGCGCGTGCGTGCGCGATTCAGGCTAGAACAGATCCTCTCTGCCTGCCTAGGTTCTCTTCCAAAATACTGTCAGCACTGCCAGTTGGAAAATATTTTTCTCCCTCCCTTTGTCTTCTTTCTTATTAAAAAAAAAAAAAAAAAAAGCCATCTGGTGTCAAATTCACTCCTGGCACATCATAAAGGGTAGCACTAAAAATGTCCCTGCAAAACTAAAAGCAAAACCACAGCAGTGCACATGGGATTTCATCCCAGCAGCCTGGAATTGCAGAGTTGCTAGGGGCCTCAGAGATCAAACCCTTTCTGCACGCGGGGAGGAAACTGAGGCCCGGAGGGGGCGAGGCCAGTTTTTGAAACACGTTTCCTGAGCGCCCACTACGTTCAGGGCGCTCTTCAGGCTCGGGAGATCGGTCAGGAAGGGATCAGAGTCCTTCCCGCCTGGCTGCTTTCGGTGGGAGGCGCCTGCCTCGCCCCGGGTTCTCACTCTCGCGTTGGCGGGAGCCCGGGCCGGCTGCGGGGGCTGTCCCGCCCAGGCCTTAGGCCCGCCCCGGCCTCGGCCCGCCCGCTCCCGCTCAGGGCTGCCAACGGCTGGAAGGCTACGTCTGCAGCCGCCCCTGCGCGGCCCCCTCGTGCCGCTGCGCTCTCCCGCGCTTGCTTCGCCGCTGCTGGGGCTCCGCATTCCTCAGGGTTGAGCAACAACTTTCCCTCGGCGGGCGGGCGGCTAGGTCGCCCCCGCGCGCAGGGCCCCTGATGGGGCGCGGCCTGGGGTCTGCGGGGCCTCCGGCGCCACCTACCCCCTCCCACCCCCGCCGCGGAGCGCCGCCGCCAGCCCCTCCCCTGGGAGCCAAAGCAGGGGTGGGGGGTGGGGAGCGGACGCCTGCCAGGGCAGCCTCTCCTGTGACTGCCACAGCATTGCCTAAGAATTAAGTGGGTGCAGAGGCCTGAGCCTGACCTTGACCTCAGAGTTGGACGCTGACCGCCCAGTCCATTGCCCTGTGGAGGCTGAGCAGCAATGTTGGTTTTGCTTTTTTTTTTTTTTTTTAATATGTTTATTTGAGAGGCAGAGACACAGAGAGCTGTCACCTGCTGGTTCACTCCCCGATGCTTTGCAACTCAATCCTGTGGGTGGTAGGGACCCGGGGACCGATGACTCGAGCTAGCACGGCTGCCTCTTCAGTGTGCATTAGCAGGAAGCTGGAGTGGAGGGATCGGGAACTGGCATCTTAAGGGCCATGCCACGCGCCTGCCCCTTTCAGCTTCTTACTGCATCCAGAGATGCTTTGACCACGTAAAGAGGTGGGTTTGTAGTAACTCGGAAAACAGAGCCTAACCTAGTTCTTGGTCTGGTTCTGAATGTTTACCTCGATCTTAGTAATACAAGCCTTTTTGTCCTTCAAGCACTGTCTTGCCTGCTGAACTCAGCAGCGGATGGGCGGCATTATCGCTGTATCCTGGGAAGAGGTGGGTATTTATTCCTGTGCTGATTTCCTAAGTGAGAAAGGCCAGCAGGTGGGGAGTCAGAGGGGAGTGAGCCCCTCTCCGTGCATGCTCCGTGCACACACTCAGTGCACCTCAAGCTTCCCGTCGCTCCTGGGTCCAGTGCAGCCCTTCCTGGGCTCTGTCGTGACAGGAGCTGGCCCCACCTTAGTCCTGAGCCGGTAGGGTGCAGTGGAGTCGGACAAGCCGACTGAGATGTAGACCTGCTGAAATGTACACTCCGGCAGGCAGGGGCTCCCAGCTGTTGATGGGTGTATAGGTGGCTCGGAAGATAATGCATATAGTAAGTGCTCACTGAAGAGGTGCTGCGTGGATGAAGGAATACGGTGACGGGCTTCGGGCTCCTAACTGGTGATGACACAGCCACTCCTGCTGCTTTACTTTCTGCCTGAAGTCTGCTCTCTTCCTTCCTGCCTCTCTTTTAAAAAAAGGTGTATGTAGTTATTTGAAAAGCAGAGAGAGAAAGAAAGATTTTCCACCCACCAGTTCACTCCACAAATGGCTACCAACATCCAGAGCTGAACCTGCTCAAAGCCAGGAGCCAGAACTTTCATCCGGTCTCCCACATGGATGGCAGGGGTCCAGGCACTTGGGCCATCCTCTGCGGCCATCCCAGGCACTTTAGCAGCAAGCTGGACTGGAAGTAAAGGTTGCAATACTGAGTTCCAGTACCCTTCACCCAGCTTCCCCTGAAATTAACATCTTACCTAACCTTAGTGAATTTGAGATGAAGACATTCACATTGGTGCAATACTATTAAGGAAACTACAGACTTTATTTGGGTGTCACATTTTTCTTTATATCTTTTTTTTTTAAAAATTATTTATTTTGAGAAGCAGAGTTACAACGAGAGGGACAGAGAGAGAGGTCTTCCATCTGCTGGTTCACTCCCCAAATGGCCCTAATGGCAAGAGCTGAGCACCTGATCTGAAACCAGGAGCCAGGAGCTTCTTCTAGATCTCCCACGTAGGCCCAAGAAATTGGGCCATCTTCTGCTGCTTTCCCAGGCACTTTAACAGGGAGCTGGATTGGAAGTGGAGCAGCCCAGACTGGAATGGACATCGATATGGGATGCCAGCACTGCAGGTGGCAGCTTTACCCACTACACCACAGCACTGGCCCCAAGGTGTCACTTTTTTTTTTTTTTTTGACTCATGTCCTTTTTCTGTTCCAGGATCCAATTTGAGATATAACATTGCTTTTAGGGTTTGAAGCCTTCCAGGATGCAATCCAGATCTCGTTGTGTAAGGTCTTTCTCCTTGGCCATGAGACAGGAAGCAGAGTTCCTGGCACTGGACCGAGCTCCCTGACCTGGGGGCCTAGAAAACACCTTGATGCCTGGATTTCCTGAGAGTG